AACCAAATCATATGACAATCAAACCTCCACGAAAAAATTTTCCATGCGTGTTTTTAGACATTCCCAAGGTTCTGGGTTTCTAATTTCTCGCAAGACATCGCTTCTTTCTTCCACGAGTCTCTTTCTCTTTCCACCATTTTTTTAAGCGTCTCGTGACCCGAAAGCCTGGGCTCTAGAGAGCCAAAAAAAAAAGCAAAAAGAACTCGCGATTGGTGGCTACAAGCCCAAAGCAAGACAAGTGAATGAATGCTGGAAATCTCTTACGTGGTAAAAGTCACCAGGCCAGCGCGAGCGATCGATCGATCAAAGCATCACCGATCTTTGTCTCCCGACTCTGACTCGTCTACGAACACAGCGTACAAAGCCACTGCAGCCTTTACCAAGAATCATAAACCTGGGAACTGTAAAAAACTGTAGAGAAGTGACGTCCACGAACAAAGAAATAATATGCAAAGGCTCTACCTTGGAAGTCGAGGAAGTAAAAACTCCACGTACACTACAGTCGCGTCCCGGGATCGTAAAATCTCCTATCACGAAGAAAAAAACAAAGCTTTGCTGCCATGGCCGACGTGTGACTCAAGGATAGCAAGCACCGACACTTGGCGTAGATCCAACGAATCTTTTCTGTTCCTTTGGCGAGCTCCTCCTTCCTGGTTGGTGAAACATCACACACAAAACGCATACCCAGTAAGAGCTTCACGAAGGAAAGAAGAAGACCCACCAAAAAGGCTTGCATTCTTTTCTCTGTTTGTGATTGATCGATGGAACTCTCCATCAGCAAAATTTGGAGTCTCTGCGAAGATTCTCAATCCTTCTTCTTCTTCTATTTTGCTTTGGCGTAATGCCAACTTTACTGTTGTTTGCATCAGCGTCGGCCTGGTGGGGGCATCGGTCGATGGCATGTCTCTCGCCTTTTGACAATCTGTACCACAAAAAAAAAAAAGCAAGCCTCTAGTGAGTGTTCTTCGAATTAAGAAAGACTATCAACTTAAGAAGCCCACGCAATCAAAAAAGAAAAACAAAGAAAAAAAACGAGAAGTGGCATGTTTCAGTGCTGCCATGTTTACCGTACCAAGTGTGCTGCCAGAGAGCAAAAACTAAAAGTGGCTGCGACCATGTCGCTAGTGAGCATCTTCGTCAAGCCCCGGACACGAGCCCTCCATTTCCTCTGCGGAATCATACTGCAATAACGAGCAACTTGTGATGTTAGCATCCGACATAGTCTTTCGTTTCTGTCCTTTAAAAAAAAATTCTAAAACAATTCCTGACTGATCCACGTCTAAGCATTACCTTGCATCCACAGTAGACGCAATAGAAAAATCGCCTCCGCAAGTCCTCTACAATTCTCATCAAGTCCTGCCGAGCACACAAACAAGTTAAGCACGATCCCCACAAAAAAGAAACCAAGCCAAGAAAACGAAAAGAAAGCGAGCACTAAGTACCTCTTCTGTCACCACAACCTCGTCTTCCTCCTCCTCTTTGTCGTCGTCTCCATTGTCATCTTCTCTCTTGACTTCTCCTCGCGAAATTCCAGCAAGCTCCTCGAGTTGAGCCAGCGCCGAGGCGGCCTTTTTGTAGTCACGACTTATCTTTCCAGCCTGCCAAGAACTCCTTTGGCGATCCTGGAAATCTCTGCGACTCACGTCATCGATCTTCCTTTTCAAGTCCCGCTGGATCTCTTGCTGCTTCGCTGCTCTCGCTTTGAATCGTCGCTCCCTCTCGTCAACCCCGAGTCCCGTCCGGGAGTGTTTGACATCAACCTT